ACTCCACAGCTTAGAGGGAACATTGCACAAGAGTGGGACTGTTCTGGTATGTCCCTGAAATTCTTGTCCCCAAACATTTGTTCATCTTTGTGCTTCTAATGAAGCAAGCTCTTGCCTAAGAAAGCCACAGTAAAGTTCAAAGTTGTTAAAGTTTACTGGTTTCCAATATTTTTCCTGTTTGGTTGACTTTGTTAAGTACAGTTCAGATTTAATTGAAATACAGACAAGTTTTAATGTGATGCAAAAATCAGAAATGTTAATGGTCTAAATACACCACTTACAACAAAGAGTCAAATGTTTTCTAAAGAGTCAAAAGAGGAGTTATCTGAAAGTATTTGCTTAAAAAAAAAGGAAGGCTTCATGTGCAATCCAATAAAACTTGGCACTGCTACATAATGAATCTCAACCAAAACAGTTCTTAATGTAAATGAAGAAGCAGTTCCAATTATCTAGTTGAGCAACATTTTACTATTTATTTATTCTAATATTTTTATCTTCCAGACAACCAAAGAGTTTCATAAGGTAGGTGACAACTTAGTTTAAATAAATGGAAGATTCAATGAAACATTCCCTGGCTGCAGTGTGTTTCTGATACCCTGCAGTGTTAGATAGTTTCCAAAACAATAGGAAGCTTTTAGATAGTTTCCAAAACAAACTCAGAAAGCTGGCTATAGGAACTTCTCTGAACAGAGCTGCACAAAGAGAATTTCTTTCCAAGGACAGTGGCATGTGAACCCTCACCCAAAGACCAGTCAGAGTTCAGGTTGAAGTATAGGAGAAAGTGTTCCTTCAATTATTTTGGTCACATGCCATTTCAGGCTTTAAAGGTGAAAACCAACATTACAATTGGACTTGGAAACTCACTGGCACAAAGCATAAGTGAAGCTCAACCTTTCATTGTAGTACTCAATAGCGTGGCCCACTGCATTCCTGATCAGCAACTCTTGTCAAATCCACAAAGAGTGCATTAAAATAACTGAATCTGCAGGTGGCCTTGGCATGTCCCATAAAGGCCAATTTTTGTCTTCCAGTTAGGGACATAAATGTAAAACTATTAAAAACCACCCACTCACCCGAGAATTTAGTAGCACATGTGGAACAAGAAAGATTTTGTTAGCGCATACCTAGTCCTTAATGGAAGATGTAGCGTAGTATACTATAGCAGCTAGGAGGCTACTGGTTCAAATCTCATTCTACCTCTAATGAAGAGGTCTCAGAGAGGCTTCAGTCCACATTTGTAATGTGGGAATAATGACTTCCCCCAACAATAGTGATCTTGTTGTAAGGATTAAAGCATGATAACATAAGCAACACACTTTGGTTGTTCCAGAGTGCCACACAGATGCTAACTAAAACACACTAAGGGAATGTGTTACAGGCTACAGTTTCTAGGAATAAGATTGTTTGTGCCCCATTAACACCCAAATGCAATTGATATGTGGAGAACTGCAGTTCTTTTGATAGCTTTTTATGGTGTTCTTGTATGATAGTTGCATTCCAAAAAAAAGTAGACTGTGTGACACTTATTTTTAGGATTCAACATTTTTTCAGAGTATCCTACAACAGCGAGAGGAAACAGAAACAAAATGTTCCATGTGATGGAGCTACTGTTGCTCAACTTTCAAACAAGTCTAGTCTTACCAAAAGGTGGCGTTCTTGTATCAGATAAGTACATGCCAGGTAAACTAAACAAAGTGTTCATTAAAAAAAAAGTTAATAGCAGGGGCTAAAATCAAACTGCATATAGAGTGAGACAAATCCCTTGTGTCATACCTGATTCAAGGTCAAGGTCCCATTCAAAGGCCTCCTTCAGGCTCTGGCATGGGGCCTTCATCCAATTAGCTGACAATCTATGTTTATGTATGCCAGCCATGGCAGAGACTATCACCTTGATCCCAATGCATATTCATGGAGAGGTAAGTTCCACTGAGTTCAATATCATTTACATTTTCAGATCAGTGCTGTACCCTGTCATCCCAAACAGTTACCACTTTCAAGTCCATTGAATGGGCTTGGAGGGTTCATAACTACTTAGCATGACACTGGCAGTTAATTTACATCCAGGAGCAACTTAAAGATTTCCAGGGAATAAACTTTCAACAGTCTTAAGTTCCCTTGACAAAGCGAACTTTGACTCTCAAAAGCCTGAATCCTGAAAATCGTTTTTGAGATGCTACTGGACTTGAATCTATTTATTTATTAAAACATTTATATCCTGCCTTCCCTCATGGTTCAAGGTGGTTTAAAATAACAGTTAAAAACATTTCCAATTTAAAACCAAAAACAAAATAGCAAACTCCCAATTTGCACACCACCCTTAAAAGATGTCTGTCAGTTCAACCCCCCTCAAAAGCCTGGACAAACAGGCAGGCCTTGTAGCACCTCCTGAAGATCTCCAAAAAGTGGGGACAATTTAGCCCTTCTATTCTGAAAGTTTCTACTCTGAAAATCTTGCTAATCTTTAAGGTGCTCCTGGACTCAAATCTAACTCTTCTACAGTGGACCGACAAGGCTACCTACCTAAACTTTCTAAACATCTAATGTGACTCTCAAAGCCCTATGGGTCTATGTAGCCTTACAGGAAATATCATTCATTAAGGCATTTGCTTCAATGACAAATATGGGGAGGGGAGTCTCCACAAATACTGAGACTGAATTTCAAGAACATGTATCTTTGCCCTAGGAGAAGACTATGGCTCTTTGAGAACAACAGAAACTTGTTCTTTGCTTGCCCAGAAGAGTAATTTTGTCCTGTAGCTACCATATCCTTCTTGGCTTGCTCCCCTCACCCAGTCATTATCACACCAGGTGCTATTTTCTTCATCCAAAATATTCTGTTTTGCTAATGGAGGAACAGACTCACTAAAAGCTTATGCACAATGACTTTAAGAATTAAGTTCAGTTTTGAAATAATTGCTTATGAGGTTGTTTCCAGCATAGCTTTGAAAAAAAATCTTTATTTTAAAATTTATGGTGGCCGAAATAGTTCTATAAACAATGCTAAAAATATCATTAAATCCACATGTCACTTCTGAAAGTTGCCACTATATGCTAAAAAACAGGGGGAAGCAAATTTCAAACCCTATAGAATTTTTTTTAAGATGGAAGGTTTCTAAAGACCATCCAGTCCTGTACTGCACATGATTACCTAAAGTATCCCTGACAGATAATTGTCCACTCTACTTAAACATCTCCAAGGAGTGAAAACCCACATATCTGGGCAACTGATTCCACCACTGAACTGCCTTTATTGTCAAAGGTTTTTCCTAATTTCCCACCAATACCTCCCTGTCCGTAATTTAAACCCATTATTATAAGTCCTACCCACCACTACCCAGTGAAACAGCATCCCACCCTCCTCTAAATGACAGCCCTCCAAGTACTTAAAAAGAGCAATCATATCCCCCTCAACCTGAATAGTCCCATTTCCCACAGCCTTCTTTATTAAGGCTTATTCTCCAGACCCCAATCATCCTCACCAATCTCCTCTGCACCTACTGTATAGTCTCTGCTTTTTCTATAAAAATACCTCTCGAACTGGACACAATACTCCAAATGGGGTCTAACCAGGGCAGTATACAGTGGCAGTATCATATCTTATGTCCTAAACACCATGCATCTTTTAATACACCCTATGATTGAATTTGCCTTCTTTGCTGCTGCATTACACTAGCTACCCATACTCAATTTGTAGTTCACCAAAACCCCAAGATCCCATTCACACAGGCCACTACTCCCAAGAGTATCCCATCTGGTATGCACATATAACATTTTACTATTCAGATGCAAAGAGGAGATTGGCTTTATACCCCACCCTTCACTACCCAAGGGAGTCTCAGTGCAGCTTACAAACTCCTTTCCCTTCCCCACAACAGACACCCTGTGAAGCCCTACATCTTGTTCACATTTCCCCATTTCCCCAATATATCCAAGTCTGATTGTAGTTTTAATCTTCAACAGTGTTTGCTATCACTCCTAATGTATCATCATCTGCAAAATTAATCTTCTCAAAATGTTACACAATCCCCACCCCCAAATTTACATCTCACATACACAAGAGGCTGCTTTCTACCCACTGGCCTACAGTTGGGAGCATTAATAAGCAATTCACTGCAGACTATCAAGCACCCTCGTGGGAGTTTTTCCCCTTGCCCGAGGCCTTTCCCACAGATCAACTTGTAAAATTTGCATTGACAGGAATGTGCATTCAGTTCTGCCACTGTTTTACATCCCACTTGAACATACGGCTCAATGAAGGTGAAAGAAGCCTAAAAGCACTTTTGTGAGAAAACAGCCTCAGCCAAATTAAACCAAACATAAGAGTCTGGGCATGCTTTCTGTAGAGCACAATGGACGAAAGGGCAAATCGCCAAGTCAAATATACATTCTGGCGAAAGCAAATGCTGCAACCGAATATGCAGGTACGCGAACAAGCAACAGAAAGCTGCACTTTACGTAAAAAACCGAGCAGCCTGATTCCACACAGACTCAGAAGCAAATCCCAGCAAAATAAATGGGACACACCAACTCCCAGGTAAACGTGCACAGCTGGAACAGCCTGAATACATGCGCTTCCACGTTGAAGGCCCAGCCTGCAAGGTCAGCAATGCATACTCTGTACAGGGGGCTCAAGAACAAGCAGACGCAGTACTTAAGCTAGCAAGTCGTTTCATTACCTCTCCTACGGGCAAGCGGGACATGACGACGGCACTGTTCCTACAACTCTCCCGACCAAAGGCCTCCTTCTCCCGTCTCCCCCGCCGCCGTCCTTCTTCTCTTCAGGCTGCTTGTTTTTGTTCCGCCCCCTCGACGTCTTCCTCGCTCTGCCTATCAGCGGCGTGAAATTTACACACAGGCCGCCCAGCTCGCGTTTCAGCGGCAGGTCTAGCCCCTCTTTCCGAGGGGCCCGCTGATTGGTGCGTTTGCCAGCAGTTCATTTGCATGCCGCTTGCGGTCGGAGCGCCCGCAGACCAGCAGAGGAGAAGTTCGCTCAAAGCTTCGGCAAGTGTCTGGAGAGAATCGCCGGCGCAACGGCAGCTGCCCGGGTAGCCTCGCCGCCTGCTCCCCGTCCCTCTCTGCGTGCCTCCCGGATAGCTCCGAGTTTACCTCCGCATCCTGACTGACCTGCGTCCGCTCGCAGCCTCCCGACTCCGCCGGCCCCTTGGGGAATAGCCCTGCCTGCCTGCGCGAAGAGCTCTCCTGCGGATCCCCCCTTTGCTTCTCCTCCTGGCCCCAGCGCTTTCTTTCCATCCTTGCTCAAGGCGGAAATTAAATGATCTCACCCTGACTGTGGAATGGAGACAGCTGACACCCAGGAGAACCTGAAGACTCCTTGGGAGCGAAGGAGGCTCGCCGTGGCCTTTCGCGCGGGGCTGTGAGAACGTGGGACCGGCTGGTTTCGGGGGGAGCACCCGCTTCTCACTCTGGCTTCCCTGGATCCAGGCAGATCGCCTTCGCGTCCTGCGCCTTGGAGGGGAGGGGGGTCGCCGCTCTTTCCTATGGCTGGGATATACAGCTCTACTCTGAAGACCCTGGAAGACTTAACCTTGGACTCCGGGTATGGGGCAGGGGACTCCTGCCGGTCCCTTAGCCTCTCTTCCTCCAAGTCCAACTCCCAAGCCTTCGCATCCTCCCAGCACAGAGGCAACTGGTGGTACTACTCGGGCTCCATGAACAGTCGCAACAACAGCTGGGATACGGTGAACACTGTCCTGCCCGAGGATCCCGAAGTCGCCGACATCTTTGCCAAATGTGCCAAACTCCCGGACCTCGAGGAATTCCCGTGGAGCGAGGAAGACGTCGGGAGGATTCTCAGGAAGGGGGAAGGCGGCGGAAGCAAGAGAAACTTCACTCCGGACGCCGTGCGGAGGCTGTCGATGTTGCTCCGGCGGCCGCTGATCCGGATTTGCAGGGAGGCGCAGCGCCTGAGCGTGATGCACTCCAAATGCACGCGCTTCGAGATCCAAAGCGCCATCAAGCTGATCCAGAGCTGGGCGCTCTCGGAGAGCTGCGTCCTGGCCACCGTCAAGGCCCTCTCGCTCTACAGCATGAGCGCCGGCGACGGCCTGAGGACAGGGAAGTCGGCCCGCTGTGGCCTCACCTTTTCCGTGGGAAGGTTTTTCAGGTGGATGGTGGACACCAGGATCTCGGTCCGGATTCACGAGTACGCAGCCATTTCGCTCACGTCCTGCATGGAGAACCTGGTGGAGGAGATCAGGGCCCGGGTGCTGGCCAGTCAGAGCCCGGACGGCGGCGGCGGGAGTGAGATATCAGCCGAGGTCCTAGAGATGGTCATCAACAACGACGCGGAGCTGTGGGGAGTACTGCAGCCCTATGAGCATCTCATCTGCGGGAAGAACGCTAATGGTAAGGGCTAGCTCACGTGGGAAAGTTTCCATCCCGGGAATGGGTCTCCTCCAGTGTTCCCTCTAAGCTGAGTTAGTGTGAGCCAGCTCACAGTTTTTTAGCCTCCGGCTCACACATTTTTGTCTTCGCTCAGGAAGGATGGGACTCCAGAGCAAACTGATTTATGCAGCAGCCAAATCGCTCCTCACCACTTTAATGCCAGTTGCTCACAAAGTAGGATTTTCGCTCACAAGACCCCAGAGCTTAGAGGGAACATTGGACTCTCCTCTAAATCTAGCATCTGGTGGGCTTGTGACTCCACATACTCACTTGCTGGTCTATACTTGACGAAGTGTCTCCATGTTCATTGTTCATTTTGTTCTGTTTTGGTGACTTGTTCTATTGTGTGGTTTTGTTGTATCTTCATTTCAATATTTTATCTCTGTAAGCCACCTCAGGGTCTTTTGTGACAGTGCAATGCTATGCAGAATTTCTTTGGTCTAAGCCCACCACAAGGTGCTAGCTTGTTGATGAATGGACTCGCAGGCACTCTGGACAAGAGATGCCATTCAAACTGGGTTTTTTCAAAAATCCTCCCCCCCCCTTGAGATACAATTTGCAGAGATGCAGCTTGCTCCAACATACATGTCTTCAGAAATAGGTTCAATAGGACTGACTTACAGTCACACAGTTCATGGTCCTGAGAGTTCTGAGGCACCAAACAAACAAATGATTCCAGCGAGCAATGGGAATTCCCCCCCCCTTTATTTCATTATTTTGTTGTTCTGCAAGCTGCTTTTGGAGACTTTGTCTCGGTCACAAAAGTTCTTGGTTTCATAAGAAACATAACTGTTCTTATGAACCATTCTTTGAACTGTGGATGGTAGCACTAGCGGTTATACTATTTAAAGTGTATGTGCAAAGTACAACAAATTAGCTTAAACTCACCAAATAGGTGAGGACAGCATTTGTGTAATTAGGATGACATTGTGTTAGGATACTTATCTATGTTGTCTGATAACTACTTTCTAGGTAGCTGGGGAAGTGCCTGGGTATTTTCAAGGAGACGTTATCTCTTCTCCGTTGTTTGACGAAACTGCAATTATTATTCATTTGTTACAGGGAAATGAAAACTCTGATTCAGCTGAAGTATTACTAAGCGCCATTGAAAACAATGGGACAAAAACTTGTCATGACTAATGCTTTGTTTGTTTCACTGGCCTTGTTCTCAGGAACAGCTGATGTGGTAAACCAATCCGTAGATGATAACTGCTTCATAGTGAAGGTGTGGTATCCGAGTGGAATGCTCCTCTAAACAGACACCCAAAAAATCCCCTGAATGTAGGACACTATGTGCCAGGGACACTAGAATCACTCCCTCTGACACCTGGTTTTCTTTGTGCGGGGATTTTAGCTGGATGAGGCAAAGTCTCTGCCTAAAGCAGGGATCCCTAGGGATCCTTTCTGGTGCCACCAGGTCTTTATAGAGAGTGAATGGGGCTCTTCCCATCAAGGCTTCTGATTGGCCATTGAAGATCTGACCAGCTTTGCAGATGAAAATTGCATTGTTTCAGTAGTTTTTTGTTTGTTTTTCTCTTTCCCCACTGTATTTTAATTGCCTCTCTTCTCCCCTACACTTGGGCTTCCTTTGTATGTGACTCTACCCCCCGTGGCAGCCATTTTGTGGTTATGCCCACCACCCTGTGTCAGAATTCCAAAGGTGCCTATAGGCTCAAACAAGTTAAGAACCTAAGAAAGGCCTTGCTAGAGCAGACCAGTGGCTCCTCTAGTCCAGCATCCTGTCGCACACACTGGCCAGCCAGTTCCTCTGGAGGTCAAACAACAGGGCATAGAGGCCGAGGCCTTCCCCTGATGTTGCCTCCTGGCACTGGTATTTAGAGGTTTACTGCCTCTGAATTTGGAAGTTCCCTTTAGTCACTGGAGCCCTTTAGTCGCCATGGCTAGTAGCCACTGAGAGATCTATCCTCCATGAATTGTTCTAAGCCCCTTTTAAAGCTGTCTGTGCCTGTGACAATCACTATATTTTATGGCAGGAAATTCCACACTTTAATCACTTGTGGAGTAACGAAGTATTTCCTTTTGTCCATCCTGAATAACAGTTGGGGATTTATGAAGTAACTCTTAAATTATGGCTGCGGTCACACGGAGCAGTAGCGACACTACTGAGACGGATGATAGGTGGATTTTCCGGGCGCGATCACACCACAACATCTGGGAAGCGTAAAGCTCCCATGGCGAACCCGAGGCTTCCCTCTGAAGATGTGCAGTTAAAAACTAGTACCTTCGAGGTACTAGTTTCTGGTAACCGCGGGGCAAGGGCGGGCATCTGATTGCATTTCCGGTGGCATCTGGCGCCCACCCATGTCCCGTCACAAAAAAGTGTGTGTCCCCCACCCCACCCCGGGGTTCCCTTCCCAGCAGCGCCGTTCTCTTCTAGCGCAATTCAGATGAAGAGGAAAGAAGAGCAGACGAGTCATTGTGGGGGAGGGGGAGAGAGAGCTTCGCACCAGCCCCCCCCCAGGCACCTTCCTGGGATGAGCAACGCCGGCATCACCTCCTGGGCAAGGCACGAGTGCCGGGGGCGAGGGGGGGCGTGACGACGACACGGGGACTCAAGGGAAAGACCATGGAACAGGCAGGGGGTTCGTGGGTGGGGGTTGGGTACGACATGCAAAAAGGGTTTTTTCCAAGTCTCCACGGGATGCGCACAAGCACCCAACGGCGCATGCGCACACTTCAGTTTAAAACCAAAACAAAGCCCCGTTTGCCGCGCTGCTTCTTTGTGATCAGCACCTCCCCCCTAACCACGGGACCTCGAGGGGACGTCTGATGGCGCAGACGCACGTTAGTTTGCTCCGGGGCAAACAGCCACACTTCCACCCCGTATTTTCCGGCCCGTGTGACTCACCCCCTGGCTCAGCCTATGTAGATTTTTCCAAGTGCTCCTACAGCTGGAAAAATGCAACTCTGCCATCAGATTTTGCTGCCTTTTCAAGTAGAATTGTTGAATGAATTATGGTGGCCTGGATGCTTCAGATAGCTATCAGTCCTACTCTCTTTAACCACATTTATATTGATGAAGTGTTCTCAGCTGCACAGATCCGGCATGGATCCAGATATGTAAGTATCTAGAGGAGGAAACTGAAGCAGCTTGCCATTGCCTGCCTCCACCATGCTTTATAGAGTTGGCTCTCATTAGTTTCCTTGTGGATTTTCTACACTTGCTTGACTTTTTTCTTTTTTGCTTTGTTCATTTCACGTCTCTGCTTTTTATTGTGAGGGGGGAAAGGGATGACAAACTCCTTTAGGGAAGGGGAAATTGGTCAACAGAATAATGTGGCTATTTCATTCATCTTACTAAGGCATGTTGTCACAGCTTTCTCAGCCTATGGTAGCTGTGGGAAGAAGTTCAGCCCATTGACAGGCTCATCCAGTGCACTGCCACACCCAGATTCTTCATAGATCCACATTTTGGCACAGCGACAAGACTTTAGCGGCACACCAAAATTTGAACTGAATTCAGTGCATGGCAGAGACTTGCACATAAGTGCAAGCTGATGAGGCTGGAACTCAGAAGTAACTGAGCTTTTGTCCTGTGGCTGCCGTATGTTGAGGTAGCCACAAGGAAGCCTCTTAGAGTTTTTCCATATTGTTTGGGAGGTCAATATATGCCAACTATTGTAATTTAGAAGCTTTCCCGAAATTAGTCTTCCACCTGTACTTACTAGCTGGAAGTTTATTTTACAGCTATGGTGGCACAGATATTTATTGCCATCTAACCTTTCTTGTCGGGGGGGGGGGTGTCTTCTGACATGTCAAAAGGAAAGCCCCTAGAGGAAATAAGTTCTTTCTTGAAGACCAAAGTGAAAGAACAGAGGTTCATGTTACATGAAAAATAAATAGGCAGGAAGAGGAATGGTTATAAATATTCAAAACATTAAGTGATCACAGTTATGTTACATTTGAGAGTTGTATGCAAAGCAGTGATTTGTCATGGGAAGAACTGGTATATGTATTTGGCTGTTGTGTACTTCTTTAGAGCATTTAGAGAGCAATCCTAAGCAGATCTACTCTGACTCAAGTCCCATTTTATTCAATGGGTCTTACTGCCAGTAAAGTGTTCTTAGGCTTACAGCATTGTATTTATCTAGTTATAAATTCTCCTTCCCTGTGCCTACATGTGCATTTAATTCAGTTTCAGGAGTGTGTTTATTGTGTTAACGAATAGTTTGGTCGTGCTGAAAGACCTAGTGAATCTTCTGACTATTACTTGCACTTTGGAAGATGAATGATCTTGTTGTACTTAAACGGGGGGGGGGAACCCTGGAATGAAAAGCACTAGGAAGCACTATAGCTTCACTCCTAACGGATTTATTACAGTGGATTGACTCTGGATGTCTGTTCAATGTAATAGACATGTTCCAGATTGTTCAGGATACTGGAATGAATAAACACATTCTTTATTTCCCTCTCTTGGTACTGACATTGTTTTAATTCAGTACTGACACATTATGGCATTGTAAAATATTTAATTACCACCATTTGGCACTAGAGTTGGTATACTGCTATGGGCAATCTATACCCAGTGTGAGAGCTCTGCATTCAGCTTTCCTGGATTTTTAAGAAAAAAACCATCTGCAGGGGCCTCTGAATTGGAGCAAGAATCTTTCCTTTTTATTGTGGGGTAGTGTGAGTCTCAGAGACCTGGGGCCCCCCCACACTAAAGCAGACCACCCACCAGTGGTGTTTTCCTTAAATGAACTGCAGGCAGCGGAGTGGGTAGTGCAACTATCTCCAACATGTCTAAAGAGGTGAACTACGTGGGCCTGCTTCAGTGGGGAGGGCAGGGTATAAATTGAATGAATGAATGAATAAAAATAAATAAATGAAAACTCTGAGGACACTGCATGTCATCACTCTTTAAGGTGCACCTTCTAAGGGCTTCCAGAGTTTCCCACTGTCACTAATGTTACTACCCCCAGACGCAGAATAGGCCTATG